CTTTTGTCTTTGCTTTTGCAGTTCTTCCTCAGCCGCCAAAAAACTTTCGCCAATCCTTTGTTCCCAACAAGGATTTAAAGAAATTACTGGACCTGCCAGTTCAGAAGTGAAAGGCACCCCTGCTTCTCAACTTCATTCTAACATACAAATCAGCTCTCCCCAACGTCCCCAGGAAAAAGAAGAAGAAGTGCTTATTCCCTCCTTCTGCTACAACTCTTCCAGCTGCATCAACATCGCGAACAGACTAAGGATCAACCTCTGATCCAGCAGAACAGCCGTTGACTCTGGCTCCATACCTCATTCCACCATCCCAAAGAAAGCGTCACCGATGTCTTGTTCTTACAGCCGAGATAGGTCGCGCAAAGCCAGTTGCTAAAAACCTCCTAGCCAACATTCCATCATCCATCGACGAACAACCAACACAAACCCAACCTCCAGCAAAACCAAAAAGAATAAAAAAGGCTCAACCAAAGGCCAAGATAGCTCAGGTTGAGTCTAAAGACACTCTGCTATCTCAAAGTTGGCTGAGAGTGATAAATCTCAACGTTCTGCTGGGAAGAGGCGCTCTGAGTCTCAACCACCAGAATCCCAAAAACCAAAAAAGCCGAGGTCTTCCTCCGCCACAACTTCAAGATCAAAAAAGCCGATGCCCCCTGGGCCCCACAATTTCTTTGGAAGACAAGCCTGTCATGGCAAGTGATAGTGCTGATAATATAAACGTCGGCGTCGCACTTAGTACCGCCCTGCTTCTTCTAGGCGACCTAGAGCAAAACGCCCAGTATAGTGAATATGAGAACTATGCTCTAATGCTTCAACACTCTGTTCAGGTAAATGTCTTCTACTTGGTAAATTTTCTCTCTCTTTATTTCACACTTTGAATATTCTTTAATACCTCTGTTTTTTTTTTCAGGCCATCCAGCATGCCCACTCTTTCTCAATGCAGTCTTTTGAGAATAGGGAAAGGCTTGCCAGATGAAGAGGGAGGTCTCCAGCCTCAAAAGACCAATAAAGGCTTCCAGTCAAAAATAAAGAAGCTGGAAGACCAAGCTGAGGAAGCCATCAAGGCTCAGACCGAAGCTGAAGAAAAGGCTGAGGCTGCTAAGGCCATTAGAAAGGTGGCCGAATCGCAAAGGAGAGAGGCCGAGAAAAAAATGGTCCCAAGCTGAAAAAGAGCTTCAGGAGGCCCTGGCCACCAAAGAAGCTGAAATCAAAGATGCTGACGAAAAGGCGTACTCACAGGGTATGGCTGACGTTACTGAGGCCTATGAAAAACAAGTGAAGGAGGCATGCAACAGGGTTTCATCCTTGGTTGGATGTCCCTTCTTAAAAAGCTTAATGTTCCTGATGACTCTCCATTGCGGAAGGCCGACGCCATTCCCTTGCCATTTCCTCCAGCCCCAACTCCAGGTGAAGATGTCGGCGAATCTGATGCTGATGATGAGACCGAGGAGGAAGAGAACGAGGCTTTGATTAGAAATCAAAAGATGCTGATGGGGCCAAGTCCCCTCTTCAGAATAAGCAAGTCCTAGACTTGACTTATGATGAAGAAGGCGACCCAAAACATACAGCTCGCTCGCTCGCTCGAGCGAAGGAAAGCTCGCTCGAGCCAAGAAACACAACCTTCAGGTCCAAAACTAGACGTAGACGCACGCTTAAGCGAAGGAACCCTGGCTCGAGCGAAGAAACCAAAACACAAAGCTCACTCGAGCGACAAAAGCCTCGCTCGAGCGAAGACACCAAAATCTGGACAGTAACCATTTGTTCCAATACCCAACCAACCTGTTTCCAACCTGCTCAACACATCTCAAAACTCAAATACAAAGAATCAAAGGATGGAAACGAGAATAAGACGACAACATACAACCACTAGACCCGAGTCAGGAACACAATACATGACGGGGAAAACCAGGATCGCTATATAGATTAAGCCCCAAAGCATTAATCTAATTTTTTTATTTTAAATGTTAAAAATATGCACTACATAGAAATATTGGTCCATCTAACTGTATACAATAATGTGACCTTCCAAACTAGTTCAAATATATGTTGACAGGTAAATTAACCTAGTAAAAAGCTTATGCTAGCATGCTTGTGTGATTTTTTTTTTTTAAAATAAAAAAATCGATAGAAGATTAATTATAAATATGTGAAATACTATATCACACTTGACAATTAAAATTCAACAGTAGACAAAGCCATATATTGTATTAATGGAAAATGCCAACTGAGTTGTGATACACACAATAGCTCGAAAATTTCCGAAATTCTAACGTTTATGCTATGAAAAACTTTTGAGACTCTCAAAAAGGTTCTTTCAATTTGATCAACGACAATGGTATGATCTGTTAAGTGTCAATTTTTAATTTATCACAAATCTAGTCGTATAAGACATAACTGCCTTACCACATTATTTTGGATGAATTATAATATTTAAATTGTGCTTTTCTAATATTTCTATTATAAAATTTAATAGTAAATGGGATTCAAACTCAAATATTACCATCAAGCCTAGACACCAGAAAATATACTCTCATTTAGGAGATTCTATAATTTTCTAATTTCAATATTCTAGGTGGAATTTAGGGGCTGTTTGGAAAGTGCTAGATTAGTATACTTTTTGACTTTTTACGAAAAAATGTAAAATATGAGTTGGGTTTGAAATGATGTGGTAAAGAGGTGATATGACTAAAATAAGATGATTGTGACCCACATAGGATAATATGCTAAAATAGCATGTGCTATTCTTAGCACATGCCAAACAAGCACTTAATGTGTTTTTAAGTTGGGAAATTCTACAATATACACCATTTAAAAGGATTATTTTAGTTACGATTCATGAGATCATATGCGTCCCTAATTATATCATTTTCCTCTTTAGTTATGATCTATTTTTTTCTTTAGTAATAACATTATTTTAGTTTTGACTTATGAGAATTTTGGTTATACCTTATGTGGTGTTTGGTTATTTATTATTATTAAGTTATGACTCAAAAAGTATAGAATTATGTAATTTTTTCTTTAGTTATAAAGTACATATTTTAAAGGTGTGTATCATAATATTTCTCCTTTCAAGTCTGAACAACTTTTCGCCATCTTAAAAAAAAGTTTGAACAACTTTCTTCAACACACCACATTTTCTTACTAAAAGTGAAGGATTATATAATTTGTATGTTTTAACTGAATTTAATTGATGAAATGAAGAATTTAATAATTTTGTTAAATTGTGTTAAGGTGCAGGAAAAATAATTATGGTATGACAATATCATTTTTATTCCTTTTTGGGATAAAATTGTACTAGTGTTCCACCCGTAGTATGCACGGGGTCATATTTATAATTATTTGTATATATATGAATTGTGATTTTTAATTTTTTTTGGCACACAAAAAAAGGAATATAACAAATGATGCATATTTTCAATCAATTGTTTTATATTTGCTTTTATTCAAAATTTAAAAATAACGTAAGAGCAAAATTTGTAACTAAATTAAGGAAAAATTTATTTCTAATGATATTTTTTTACTTCTATATAAATACTTAAAAAAATAAACCTGATAAAAAGAAGTCAATATAATATTATACATTAAGTAAAAAAATGTGGTTAGCAATTATGCTTACATAAATTTACTATAGTTTTAATTTCAATTTTTTTTAAAAAAAAAAAAAAAACTATTTTAATAGCATTTTATTTAGTTAGTACCAAATAGAATTTTCTTAGCAAAAATGCAATTTTGTTATAAATTTTCAAATGTCTATTGTTAAATATTCTATTCTACTTACTTGTTTGTTTGCTTGCTTGTTTGATTTGGGAGTTTTGATCTTTGATCTTTGCTCCACATTAATCGTATTATTTTATTTATTTATTTTTCTTCTTCTTGCTTGATTTTCGCATGATACTTCTTTCATAGTGCATCTTTAAGTGTATTAATGAAAATATCATACACTTAAAATGTACAAAACTACAATATATAGAAGAAAAAAAAGAAGTAAGTAATTGCCCAAAACTAAAACTACTTTAAGAAAAAATAAAAAAATAAAAACAAAAATGAAATTGTTTGAAATAAAAAATAATTTATTTGTTTATTAATTGATTTTTAAAAATAAGCTTTTAAAGAAAACAAAGAAAACTATATAAAAAGTACAGAAACAAAACATAAAATATAATACAAAAAATAAATGAATTATATGATTTTCAAGAAGTGAGACTCACAAACAAATGTTGTAAAATTTTGTCTATTTATATACTTTTTGTGTATGTCTTTTGTTAGGGAAAATATACGATTTCCCACAAGTAAATTAATCAATAGGAATAAAAACTAATGCAGAAAAATTAAATCAATAAAGACACAAGAATTTTACGTGGTTCCCTTAACGTGAGGTACATCAACGGGATCGAAATTCGATTCCATTATTAACCAAAAAGTTTTGAAACGATTACAAACGAGACATGAATGGTCTCACAAATCACCTTTAGGTGAATTCCAAATAATAAATAAAAGGAAAGATCTCAATAAATAGATGAACAAAATTATTTTCGAAACAGAGTTATAGAAGACCCAAAATAATACCCAAATCAACTTTGAATAAAAGATAGCAACAACATCAACAAATCAAACCCAAAGCATTGACCAAGCACCAAATTGAATATCAACCCGCACAGTCACCAAGGATGAATGAAAAACTTTATAGCCATAGCACCCACCGAGGAAGAACACAATAATATATATATTTTGTCGAATCTTGGATTTTTGTTTCAAACCCTAACTGTTATCAAATTGACTATCAAATACCTATTAGGATTCGAAATGTAACGCCCCAAAATTTCTCTAACATAATCTAGGTATATCGACTAACATTCATTATAGAATTATAGCAATTCCCAAATTATCATAACATTGATCAATAAAGTTTGTACAAAATAGTCCCACATGCGAATTATACATTCAATGACATTACATACATGAATCTATAGCATGTGGAATGCCAAATTCAAAAGTAAATAAAATGCCCTCCAGGGCTTACAAATTCCAAGGCTTAAGCCCGATTGCACAAAAATAGTCTCTCGGACTCAAACAGTTATAGCCATAGGCTTACAAAATACAATCACAACAAAACAGAGCCTTGTGCTCTGTATACATATATCCACGCTCTAGATTGGTGGGTTCACCACATCTTTTCCTGCACCAAAATCCCATAGGGGTGAGCATAAAGCCCAATAGAGAAATCCTTAACAAAGTACATATATTTTATACAAGTCCAAAGAAATAAGATGTGTATGTCATGCTATCCTCCTTTGAAAGAAACTCACATTCTTCTCATCTTTTAAAAAAAAAAACAGAGCCTTGTGCTCTGTATACAATCACAACAAAACAGAACCTTGTGCTCTGTATACATATATCCACGCTCTAGATTGGCGGGTTCACTACATCTTTTCCTGCACCAAAATCCCATAGGGGTGAGCATAAAACCCAATAGAGAAATCCTTAACAAAGTACATACATTTTATACAAGTCCAAAGGAATAAGATATGTATGTCATGCTATCCTCCTTTGAAAGAAACTCACATTCTTCTCATCTTTTTTAAAAAAAAACATCATGCTCAATGATATTATGATATCTTTAACAAATTTAAAGTTTATCAATTTAATACACAGGGCGGTAAATACGACTCAGGTAATCCCTAGGTTGGTGTCTGTAAGTAGGCATAACTAGCACTACCAAAAACCCCACTTTACCGGTTGCTAACCGGAAGGGAAGTGGTACCACCTCCATGCGTGTTTTCAGTCTTTCACCCTGGACACTCAGGCCAACTTAATCAATTCCATCTACACTTCCTATCCGGACTTACCAACGTATTTACACCAAAACATTTCAATAAATTTCATTTCCCAACATTTCTTTTTCAATGCAAGTTTCAAATCCCAAATCCAATGTTTACAAATTATAACTAATAAGATTATGGAACACAAATTATTAAAGGCAAATAGAAAAATAATGATGAAAGATGGAAAACAATGTGAAGAGTTAATGAAAAAAAGGTGCTTAGTTAATAACTAAGCAATACAATAAATATTTCAAAAGGATATGGCGATATGCAATTATCAATTTGCTTGCCTATGGCTTTTCATTTCCGCTCATACATGATTAAAGCATGCATTTGGAAACTGTTGCAATTATCAATTGTTGCTTATTCACAATTTTGTAACAGTCACTAACTACATGCATTGTAAATTACTTTGCAGGTTGCTTTCCCCGTCTTGGAGGATTTGGAAATTCAGGAATTGCCTAACATAATAGAGATATGGGACAAGCAATTACTCACAGCCTCAGAAGAAGAATCAAAGTCCTTCTGCCAATTGAAACATATGACGGTTTCTAATTGTGAGAAATTGGTCCATGTGGTCCAGTTCAATATGCTCTCACGACTGCAAAATCTGGAAACATTCAACGTAGATCATTGTCCAAAGATGGAAGCGATAGTCTCAGAGAAAGGAAAAGAAGAAGGAACCACTAGTAATGATATCATCGTGTTCTCTCAATTAACAACTCTTAATCTATCTGAGTTGGTGAGCCTTAAAAGTTTCAACAACTGGCCTACAAGATCTGAAGTACAACCGTTGTTCAGCCACAAGGTTTGATTTTCCTAATTTATTTTATTAACCCTGGCCACGGGAAACCGCGCACAAAAAAATAAAATAAAATTCCCTTTCAAATACAATTTTAAATTTAAAGCTTATTTGAAAATTCTCTTTTATCCAAATCCAAATAAAAGTAAATAATTTCATGGTGGATATGCTAGGGGCCTACGATGGAAATTACAATATTACCGAAACAAAAATATGTATGAATTCTAAATTTAACACAATTTTTTTTTATATTTTTTATTTTGAATATGAATCTTAATATGATTTTATTCGACTAAAATATATGTAAGTTTGTCTTCTTTACCATTTCAACCAAACCCAAATGAGTTCTAATCGAACGGAGTTGAAGCAATTTGGTATTTTATTTCCCATTTAAGTTTATAGAACTGAGTTCGAACTGAACTCAAAAAATCGGCGAATTTCAAAATGTGTTCAATTTTAACTTATTTATATAATAAGTCATTCTTCAAATGTTTTTTATTGAGCCGAATATAAATCGAGTTCAAATAATTTGATTTGTTTTACCATCTTAACTTAAATAGATATGCCAAGAAAATGAATATTAAATTAAATAAGAAATTATCAATAAAAAAAATTATCAAGGCACCGTGGTGAATTTTTAAAATAAAATTTTCTTTTTTTTTTAATATGTCCAATACTCAAATCTAAAACATAATTTGCCTTATCTAAAAAATAACTAATAAGATTATGGAATACAAATTATTAAAGGCAAATTGAAAAATAATGATGGAAGATGGAAAACAACGTGAAGAGCAGATGTCAAAAAGGTGCTTAGTTAATACTTAAGCAATAGAATAAATATTTCGAAAGAATATGGCGATATGAAATTATCAATTTGCTTGCCTATGGCTTTTCATTTCCGCTCATACAGGGTTAAAGCATGCATTTGGAAACTGTTGCAATTATCAATTGTTGCTTATTCACAATTTTGTAACAGTCACTAACTACATGCGTTGTAAATTACTTTGCAGGTTGCTTTCCCCGTCTTGGAGGATTTGGAAATTGAGAAATTGCCTAACATAATAGAGGTATGGGACGAGCAATTACTCATAGCCTCAGAAAAAGAATCAAAGTCCTTCTGCCAATTGAAAGATATGAAGGTTTCTAATTGTGAGAAATTGGTACATGTGGTCCAATTAAATATGCTCCCACGACTGCAAAATCTCAAAGAATTCAAGGTAGATAATTGTCCAAGGATGGAAGCGATAGTCTCGGAGAAAGAAAAAGAAGAAGGAACCACCAGGAATGATATCATCGTGTTCTCTCAATTAACAACTCTTAATCTTTCTAAGTTGGTGAGCCTTAAAAGTTTCTGCAACGGGCCTACAAGATCTGAAGCACAACCCTTGTTCAACCACCAGGTTTGGTTTTCCTAATTTACTTTTTTAACCTTGGCCATGGGAAAGCGTGCACACAAAGAAAAATTAAAATGTCGTTTCAGTTACAATTTTAAATTTGAAGCTTATTTGAATATTCTCTTTCTATCCAAATCCAAACAAAAGTAAAATAATTTCAAGGTGGATATGCTAGGGGCCTACGATGGAAATTACAATATTACCCAAACAAAAATATGTATGAATTCTAAATTTGACACTATTTTTTTTATTTTGAATATGAATCTTAATATGATTTTATTTGACTAAAATATATATAAGTTTGTCTTCTTTACCATTTCAACCGAACCCAAACGAGTTTTAATCGAATGGAGTTGAAGCAACATGGTATTTTATTGCCCATTTAAGTTTATAGAACTGAGTTCGAACTGAACTCCAAAAATCGGCAAATTTCAAAATGCGTTCAATTTGAACTTATTTATATAATAAGTCATTCTTGAATTGTTTTTTATTGTGCCGAATATCAATCGAGTTCAAATAATTTGATTTGCTTTACCATCTTAACTTAAATAGATACGCTAGGAAAATGAATATTAAATTAAATAAAAAATTATCACGGCGCTGTGGTGAATTTTTTAAATAAAATTTTCTTCTTTTTCATAGGTCTAATACTCAGATCTACAACATACTTTTCCTTATCTAAAAAATAACTAATAAGATTATGGAACGCAAATTATTTAAGGCAAATAGAAAAATAATGATGAAAGATGGAAAACAATGTGAAGAGTTGATGACAAAAAGGTGCTTAGCTAATAATTAAGCAATACAACAAATATTTCAAAAGAATATGGCGATATGCAATTATCAATTTGCTTGCCTATGGCTTTTCATTTCCCCTCATACATGATTAAAGCATGCATTTGGAAACTGTTGCAATCATCAATTGTTGCTTATCCACAGTTTTGTAACAGTCATTAACTACATGTGTTGTAAATTAATTTGCAGGTTGCTTTCCCCGTCTTGGAGGATTTGGAAATTAACGAATTGCCTAACATAATAGATATATGGGACAAGCAATTACTCATAGCCTCAGAAGAAGAATCAAAGTCCTTTTGCCAACTGAAAGATATGACAGTTTCTAATTGTGAGAAATTGGTACATGTGGTCCAGTTCAATATGCTCTCACGACTGCAAAATTTGGAAAAATTCTATGTGTATCATTGCCCAAAGATGGAAGCGATAGTCTCAGAGAAAGGAAAAGAAGAAGGAACCACCAGTAATGATATCATCGTGTTCTCTCAATTAACAACTCTTAATCTTTCAGAGTTGGTGAGCCTTAAAAGTTTCTACAACTGGCCTACAAGATCTAAAGCACAGCCCTTGTTCAACCACCAGGTTTGATTTTCCTTTTTCTATTTTATTAACCACGGCCATGGGAAAGCGTGCACACACACAAAAAAAAAAAAAAAATTCCTTTTCCATTACAATTTTAAATTTGAAGCTTATTTGAATATTCTCTTTCTATCCAAATCCAAACAAAAGTAAAATAATTTCAAGGTGGATATGCTAGGGGCCTACGATGGAAATTACAATATTAGCCAAACAAAAATATGTATGAATTCTAAATACACCATATTTTTATTTTGAATATGAATCTACATGATTTTATTTAATTAAAATATATATTTGTCTTCTTTACCATTTGAGCCGAACCCAAACGAGTTTCAATCGAACAGAGTTCGAGCAACTTGGTATTTTACTGCCCATTTAAGTTTATAAGAACTGAGTTCGAATTGAACTCAAAAAATCGGTGAATTTCAAAATGTGTTCAATTTTAACTTATTTATATAATAAGTCATTCTTGAATTCTTTTTTTTTTTGAGCCGAATATAAATCGAGTCCAAATAATTTGATTTGCTTTACCATCTTAAATTAAATAGATATGCTAGGAAAATGAATATTAAATTAAATGAAAAATTATCAAGGCATTCTGGTGAATTTTTAAAATAAAATTTTCTTCTTTTTCATAGGTCTAATACTCAGATGTACAGCTAATTTGCCTTATCTAAAATATAACTAATAAGATTATGGAACACAAATTATTAAAGGCAAATAGAAAAATAATGATGAAAGATGGAAAACAATGTGATGAGTTGATGACAAAAAGGTGCTTAGTTAATAACTAAGCAATACAATAAATATTTCAAAAGAATATGGCGATATGCAATTATCAATTTGCTTGCCTATGGCTTTTCATTTGCGCTCATACATGATTAAAGCATGCATTTGGAAACTGTTGCAATTATCAATTGTTGCTTATTCACAATTTTGTAACAGTCACTAACTACATGCATTGTAAATTACTTTGCAGGTTGCTTTCCCCGTCTTGGAGGATTTGGAAATTCAGGAATTGCCTAACATAATAGAGATATGGGACAAGCAATTACTCATAGCCTCAGAAGAAGAATCAAAGTCCTTCTGCCAATTGAAACATATGACGGTTTCTAATTTTGAGAAATTGGTACATGTGGTCCAGCTCAATATGCTCTCACGACTGCAAAATCTGGAAACATTCAACGTAGATCATTGTCCAAAGATGGAAGCGATAGTCTCGGAGAAAGGAAAAGAAGAAGGAACCACCAGTAATGATATCATTGTGTTCTCTCAATTAACAACTCTTAATCTATCTGAGTTGGTGAGCCTTAAAAGTTTCTACAACTGGCCTACAAGATGTGAAGTACAACCGTTGTTCAACCACAAGGTTTGATTTTCCTAATTTATTTTATTAACCCTGGCCATGGGAAAACGCGCACAAAAAAATAAAATAAAATTCCTTTTCAAATACAATTTTAAATTTAAAGCTTATTTGAAAATTCTCTTTTATCCAAATCCAAATAAAAGTAAATAATTTCATGGTGGATATGCTAGGGGCCTACGATGGAAATTACAATATTACCGAAACAAAAATATGTATGAATTCTAAATTTGACACTATTTTTTTTATTTTGAATATGAATCTTAATATGATTTTTATATATCGACTAAAATAGTTCATTAAGTTAGTGCTCTTCTTTACAATATTACAACCAACACCAGAATGAGTACTAATATCGAACTGGAGTTGAAGCAAATTTTGGTAAATCTTATAACTTTCCCATTTAAGTTGTATAGAACTGAGTTCGAACTGACTCAAACAAATTCGGCGATATATCAAATATATCGTCCTTCAATTTATAATTTTATATAATTTATAATAAGTCATTTCTGAACTTCGTTTTATTGATCGTTAGATACCGAATATAAATTGAGTTCAAATAATTTTGATTTGTTTTTAGCCATCTTCAACTTAAAATAAGATATACTCCAAGAAAATGAATTATTTAAATTAAAATAAGAAATTATCCAGTATAAAAAATTATTCACGAGTCTACGCGTGCTGTGTATATTTTTAAATAATAAATTTCTCTCCTTTTCATCTAATGTCCAATACTCAATCTACAACTAATAACTTGCGCTTATCTAAAAAATGATAAACTAATTAGTATTGATTGGAACACAAATTATTAAGTCCAAAATAGAAACAGATAATTATGACAGAATTGGATAATATATGTGAAAGAGCTGTAAATAAAAAGGTGCTTAGATTAATAATTAAGCAATAGAATAAATATTCAAAGAATTATGGCGATATGAAATTAATCTCAATTTGCCTTGCTATTAATGTTCTCATTTCCGCTCATACACGTTTTGATCATGTGTTGTTTAAACGTATTGCAATATACGTTGTTGCTCATCTACGAATTTGTGACAGTCACTAGCTACATGTGTTGTAAATTACTTTACAGGTTGCTTTTCCCGTCTTGGAGGATTTGAAAATTCAGAAATTGCCTAACATAATAGAGATATGGGACGAGCAATTACTCATAGCCTCAGAAAAAGAATCAAAGTCCTTCTGCCAATTGAAAGATATGCAGGTTTCTAATTGTGAGAAATTAGTACATGTGGTCCTATTCAATATGCTCCCACGACTGCAAAATCTCAAAAAATTCAACGTAGATAATTGTCCGAGGATGGAAGCGATAGTCTCGGAGAAAGAAAAAGAAGAAGGAACCACCAGGAATGATATCTTCGTGTTCTCTCAATTAGCAACTCTTAATCTTTCTAAGTTGGTGAGCCTTAAAAGTTTCTACAACTGGCCTGCAAGATCTAAAGCACAGCCCTTGTTCAACCACCAGGTTTGATTTTCCTTTTTCTATTTTATTAACCACGGCCATGGGAAAGCGTGCACAAAAAAAAAAAAAAAAATTCCTTTTCCATTACAATTTTAAATTTGAAGCTTATTTGAACATTCCCTTTCTATCCAAATCCAAACAAAAGTAAAATAATTTCAAGGTGGATATGCTAGGGGCCTACGATGGAAATTACAATATTAGCCAAACAAAAATATGTATGAATTCTAAATACACCATATTTTTATTTTGAATATGAATCTACAAGATTTTATTTGACTAAAATATATATTTGTCTTCTTTACCATTTGAGCCGAACCCAAACGAGTTTCAATCGAAAAGAGTTCGAGCAACATGGTATTTTACTGCCCATTTAAGATTATAGAACTGAGTTCGAATTCAACTCAAAAAATCAGTGAATTTCAAAATGTGTTCAATTTTTACTTATTTATATAATAAGTCATTCTTGAATTCTTCTTTTTTTTTGAGTCGAATATAAATCGAGTTCAAATAATTTGATTTGCTTTGCCATCTTAACTTAAATAGATATGCTAGGAAAATGAATATTAAATTAAAATCAGTTCAAATAAGTTTGTCTTCTTTACCATTTCAACCAAAGCCAAATGAGTACTAATCGAACGGAGTTGAAGCAATTTGGTATTTTATTTCCCATTTAAGTTTATAGAACTGAGTTCGAACTGAACTCAAAAAATTGGGGAATTTCAAAATGTGTTCAATTTTAACTTATTTATATAATAAGTCATTCTCGAATTGTTTTTTATCGAGCCGAATATAAATTGAGTTCAAATAATTTGATTTGTTTTACCATCTTAACTTAAATAGATATGCCAAGAAAATGAATATTAAATTAAATAAGAAATTATCAGTATAAAAAATTATCAAGGCACCGTGGTGAATTTTAAAATAAAATTTTCTCCTTTTTCATAAGTCCAATACTCAAATCTACAACATAACTTGCCTTATCTAAAAAATAACTAATAAGATTGTGGAACACAAATTATTAAAGTCAAATAGAAAAATAATTATGAAAGATGGAAAATAATGTGAAGAGCTGAAATAAAAAAGGTGCTTAGTTAATAATTAAGCAATAGAATAAATATTTCAAAAGAATATGGCGATATGAAATTATCAATTTGCCTGCCTAATGCTTCTCATTTCCGCTCATACACGTTTGAAACATGTGTTTGTAAACTGTTGCAATTATAAGTTGTTGCTCATCCACAATTTGTGACAGTCACTAGCTACGTGTGTTGTAAATTACTTTACAGGTTGCTTTTCCCGTCTTGGAGGATTTGAAAATTCAGAAATTGCCTAACATAATAGAGATATGGGACGAGCAATTACTCATAGCCTCAGAAAAAGAATCAAAGTCCTTTTGCCAATTGAAAGATATGCAGGTTTCTAATTGTGAGAAATTGGTACATGTGGTCCTATTCAATATGCTCCCACGGCTGCAAAATCTCAAAAAATTCAACGTAGATAATTGTCCAAGGATGGAAGCGATAGTCTCAGAGAAAGAAAAAGAAGGAGGAACCACCAGGAATGAGATCATTGTGTTCTCTCAATTAACAACTCTTAATCTTTCTGAGTTGGTGAGCCTTAAAAGTTTCTGCAACAGGCCTACAAGATCTGAAGCACAACCCTTATTCAATCACCAGGTTCGATTTTCCTTTTTTATTTTATTAACCTTGGCATGGGAAAGCATGCGCACAAAAAAAAAAAAATTAAAATTCTTTTTCCATTACAATTTTAAATTTGAAGCTTATTTGAATATTCTCCTTCTATCCAAATCCAAATAAAAGTAAAATAATTGCAAGGTGGATATGCTAGGGGTCTACGATGGAAATTACAATATTAGCCAAGCAAAAATATTTATGAATTCTAATACACCATATTTTTATTTTGAATATGAATCTTAATATGATTTTATTTGACTAAAATATACATAAGTTTGTCTTCTTTACCATTTCAATCGAACCCAAACGAGTTTTAATCGAATGGAGTTCGAGCAACTTGGTATTTTACTGTCCATTTAAGTTTATAGAACTGAGTTCGAACTGAACTCAAAAAAATTGGCGAATTTCAAAATGTGTTCAATTTTAACTTATTTATATAATAAGTCATTCTTGAATTGTTTTTTAATGAGCCGAATATAAATCGAGTTCAAATAATTTTATTTGTTTTACCATCTTAACTTAAATAGATATGCCAAGAAAATGATTATTAAATCAAATATGAATTTATCAAACTAAAAAATTTTCAAGGCACCGTGGTGCATTTTTAAAACAAAATTTTCTTCTTTTTCATAAATCCAATACTCAAATCTACAACATAACTTGCCTTATCTAAAAAATAACTAATAAGATTGTGGAACACAAATTATTAAAGTGGATGGAAAATAATGTGAAGAACTGAAATAAAAAAGGTGCTTAGTTAATAATTAAGCAATAGAATAAATATTTCAAAAGAATATGGCGATATGAAATTATCAATTTGCCTACCTAATGCTTCTCATTTCCGCTCATACACGTTTGAAGCATGTGTTTGTAAACTGTTGCAATTATAAGTTGTTCCTCAACCACAATTTTGTGACAGTCACTAGCTACATGTGTTGTAAATTACTTTACAGGTTGCTTTTCCCGTCTTGGAGGATTTGAAAATTCAGAAATTGCCTAACATAATAGAGATATGGGACGAGCAATTACTCATAGCCTCAGAAAAAAAATCAAAGTCCTTCTGCCAATTGAAAGATATGCAGGTTTCTAATTGTGAGAAATTGGTACATGTGGTCCTATTCAATATGCTCCCATGGCTGCAAAATCTCAAAAAATTCAACGTAGATAATTGTCCAAGGATGGAAGCGATAGTCTCAGAGAAAGAAAAAGAAGGAGGAACCACCAGGAATGAGATCATTGTGTTCTCTCAACTAACAACTCTTAATCTTTCTGAGTTGGTGAGCCTTAAAAGTTTCTGCAACGGGCCTACAAGATCTGAAGCACAACCCTTATTCAACCACCAGGTTCGATTTTCCTTTTTTATTTTATTAACCTTGGCATGGGAAAGCATGCGCACAAAAAAAAAAAAAATTCCTTTTCAAATAAAATTTTAAATTTGAAGCTCATTTTAATATTCTCTTTCTATCCAAATCCAAATAAAAGTAAAATAATTTCATGGTGGATATGCTAGGGGCCTACGATGGAAATTACAATATTACCCAAACAAAAATATGTATGAATTCTAAATTTAACACTATTTTTTAATTTTGAATATGAAACTTAATATGATTTAATTTGACTAAAATATATATAAGTTTGTCTTCTTTACCATTTCAACTGAACCCAAACGGGTTTTAATCGAACGGAGTTGAAGCAACTTGGTAATTTATTGCTCATTTAAGTTTATAGATTTGAGTTCGAACTGAACTAAAAAAATCAGCAAATTTCAAAATGTGTTCAATTTTAACTTATTTATATAATAAGTCATTCTTGAATTATTTTTTATTGAGCCAAATATAAATCGAGTTCAAATAATTTTATTTGTTTTACCATCTTAACTTAAATAGATATGCCAAGAAAATGATTATTAAATTAAATATGAATTTATCAAAATAAAAATATATCAAGGCACCGTGGTGAATTTTTAAAATAAAATTTTCTCCTTTTTCATAAGTCCAATACTCAAATCTAAAACATAATTTGCGTTCTCTAAAAAATAACTAATAAGGTTATGGAACACAGATTATTAAAGTCAAATAGAAATATAATTGTGAAAGATGGAAAATAATGTGAAGAGCTGAAATCAAAACGGTGCTTAGTTAATAATTAAGCAATAGAATAAATATTTCAAAAGAATATGGCGATGTGAAATTATCAATTTGCCTGCCTAATGCTTCTCATTTCCGCTCATACACGTTTGAAGCATGTGTTTGTAAACTGTTGCAATTATAAGTTGTTCCTCATCCACAATTTTGTGACAGTCACTAGCTACATGCGTTGTAAATTACTTTACAGGTTGCTTTTCCCGTCTTGGAGGATTTGAAAATTCAGAAATTGCCTAACATAATAGCGATATGGGACGAGCAATTACTCATAGCCTCAAAAAAAGAATCAAAGTCCTTCTGCCAATTGAAAGATATGCAGGTTTCTAATTGCAAGAAATTGGTACATGTGGTCCTATTCAATATGCTCCCATGGCTGCAAAATCTCAAAAAATTCAACGTAGATAATTGTCCAAGGATGGAAGCGATAGTCTCAGAGAAAGAAAAAGAAGGAGGAACCACCAGGAATGAGATCATTGTGTTCTCTCAACTAACAACTCTTAATCTTTCTGAGTTGGTGAGCCTTAAAAGTTTCTGCAACGGGCCTACAAGATCTGAAGCACAACCCTTATTCAACCACCAGGTTCGATTTTCCTTTTTTATTTTATTAACCCTTGGCATAGGAAAGCATGCGCACAAAAAAAAAATTAAAATTCTTTTTCCATTACAATTTTAAATTTGAAGCTTATTTGAATATTCTCTTTCTATCCAAATCCAAATAAAAGTAAAATAATTGCAAGGTGGATATGCTAGGGGTCTACGATGGAAATTACAAAATTAGCCAAGCAAAAATATTTATGAATTCTAATACACCATATTTTTATTTTGAATATGAATCTTAATATGATTTTATTTGACTAAAATATATATAAGTTTGTCTTCTTTACCATTTGAGCCGAACCCAAGCGAGTTTTAATCAAACAGAGTTCGAGCAACTTTGAATTTTATTGCCCATTTAAGTTTATAGAACTGAGTTCGAACTGAACTCAAAAAATCGGCGAATTTCAAAATGTGTTCAATTTTAACTTATTTATATAATAAGTCATTCTTGAATTGTTTTTTATTGAGCCGAATATAAATCGAGTTCAAATAATTTGATTTTTTTTACCATCTTAACTTAAATAGATATGCCAAGAAAATGAATATTAAATTAAATAAGAAATTGTCAATATAAAAAATTATCAAGGCACCGTGGTGAATTTTTAAAATAAAATTTTCTTTTTTTTTTAATATGTCCAATACTGAAATCTAAAACATAATTTGCCTTATCAAAAAAATAACTAATAAGATTATGGAATACAAATTATTGAAGGCAAATTGAAAAATAATGATGGAAGATGGAAAACAATGTGAAGAGCTGAAATCAAAAAGATGCTTAGTTAATACTTAAGCAATAGAATAAATATTTCAATAGAAAATGGCGATATGAAATTATCAATTTGCCTGCCTAATGCTTTTCATTTCCGCTCATACACGATTAAAGCAGGCGTTCAGAAACTGTTGCAATTATAAGTTGTTGCTCATCCACAATTTTGTGACAGTCACTAGCTACATGCGTTGTAAATTACTTTACAGGTTGCTTTTCCCGTCTTGGAGGATTTGAAAATTCAGAAATTGCCTAACATAATAGAGATATGGGACAAGCAATTACTCATAGCCTCAGAAAAAGAATCAAAGTCCTTCTGCCAAATAAATATTTCAGATCAATACGGAGATATGCAATTATCGATTTGCTTTTCATTTCCGCTCATACACGATTGAAGCATGTGTTTGTAAACTGTTGCAATTATAAGTTGTTGCTCATCCACAATTTTGTGACAGTCACTTGCTACATGCGTTGTAAATTACTTTACAGGTTGCTTTTCCTGTCTTGAAGGATTTGAAAATTCAGAAATTGCCTAACATAATAGAGATATGGGACGAGCAACTACTCATAGCCTCAGAAAAAGAATCAAAGTCCTTTTGTCAATTGAAAGATATGAAGGTTTCTAATTGTGAGAAATTGGTACATGTGGTCCTATTCAATATGCTCCCACGATTGCAAAATCTCAAAAAATTCAAGGTAGATAATTGTCCAAGGATGGAAGCGATGGTCTCGGAGAAAGAAAAAGAAGAAGGAACCACCAGGAATGATATCATCGTGTTCTCTCAACTAACAACTCTTAATCTTTCTAAGTTGGTGAGCCTTAAAAGTTTCTGCAACGGGCCTACAAGATCTGAAGCACAACCCTTGTTCAACCACCAGGTTTGATTTTCCTTTTTATTTTATTAACCCTTGGCATGGGAAAGCGTGCACACAAAAAAAAATTAAAATTCCTTTTCCATTACAATTTAAAATTTGAAGCTTATTTGAATATTCTCTTTCTATCCAAATCCAAATAAAAGTAAAATAATTTCATGGTGGATATGCTAGGGGCATACGATGGAAATTACAATATTATCCAAACAAAAATACGTATGAATTCTAAATACACCATATTTTAATTTTGAATATGAATCTTAATATGATTTTATTTGACTAAAATATATATAAGTTTGTCTTCTTTACCATTTGAGCCGAACCCAAGCGAGTTTTAATCAAACAGAGTTCGAGCAACTTTGAATTTTATTGCCCATTTAAGTTTATAGAACTGAGCCAAAACTGAATTCAAAAAATCGGTGAATTTCAAAATGTGTTCAATTTTAACTTATTTATATAATAAGTCATTCTTGAATTGCTTTTTATTGAGCCGAATATAAATCGAGTTCAAATAATTTGATTTGCTTTACTATCTTAACTTAAATAGATACGTCAGGAAAATGAGTATTAAATCAAATAAAAAATTATCATGACACTGGCGAATTTTTAAAATAAAATTTTCTTCTTTTTCGTAGGTCTAATACTCAGATCTGCAACATAATTTCCCTTATCTAAAAAATAACTAATAAGATTATGAAACCCAAATTATTAAAGCCAAATAGAAAAATAATGTTGAAAGATGGAAAACAATGTGAAGAGTTGATTACAAAAAGGTTCCTAGTTAATAATTAAGCAATACAATAAATATTTAAAAAGAATATGGCGATATGCAATTATCAATTTGCTTGCCTATGGCTTTTCATTTCTGCTCGTACATGATTAAAGCATGCATTTGGAAACTGTTGAAATTATCAATTGTTGCTTGTCCACAATTTTTTAACAGTCACTAACTACATGCGTTGTAAATTACTTTGTAGGTTGCTTTCCCCGTCTTGGAGGATTTGGAAATTCAGGAATTGCCTAACATAATAGAGATATGGGACAAGCAATTACTCATAGCCTCAGAAGAAGAATCAAAGTCCTTCTGCCAACTGAAAGATATGACGGTTTCTAATTGTGAGAAATTGGTACATGTGGTCCAGTTCAATATGCTCTCACGACCGCAAAATCTAGAAACATTCAATGTAGATCATTGTCCAAAGATGGAAGCGATAGTCTCGGAGAATGGAAAAGAAGGGGGAACCACCAGTGATGATGTCATTGTGTTCTCTCAATTAACAAGTCTTAATCTATCTGAGTTGGTGAGCCTTAAAAGTTTCTACAACTGGCCTACAAGATCTGAAGCACAACCCTTGTTCAACCACCAGGTTTGATTTTCCTAATTTATTTTTTTAACCTTGGCCATGGGAAAGCGTGCACACAAAGAAAAATTAAAATTCCTTTTCAAATACAATTTTAAATTTGAAGCTTATTTGAATATTCTCTTTCTATTCAAATCCAAATAAAAGTAAAATAATTTCATGGTGGATATGCGAGGGTCCTACGATGGAAATTACAATATTACCCAAACAAAAATATGTATGAATTCTAAATTTGACACCATTTTTTTATTTTGAATATGAATCTTAATATGATTTTATTCGACTAAAATATATGTAAGTTTGTCTTCTTTACCATTTCAACCAAACCCAAATGAGTTCTAAGGTGGATATGCTAGGGGCCTACGATGGAAATTACAATATTACCCAAACAAAAATATGTATGAATTCTAAATTTAACACTATTTTTTTTTTTGAATATGAATCTTAATATGATTTTATTTGACTAAAATATATATAAGTTTGTCTTCTTTACCATTTCAACCGAACCCAAACGAGTTTTAATCGAATGGAGTTGAAGCAACATGGTATTTTATTGCCCATTTAAGTTTATAGAATTGAGTTCGAACTGAACTCAAAAAATCGGCAAATTTCAAAATGCGTTCAATTTGAACTTATTTATATAATAAGTCATTCTTGAACTGTTTTTTATTGTGCCGAATATCAATCGAGTTCAAATAATTTGATTTGCTTTACCATCTTAACTTAAATAGATACGCTAGGAAAATGAATATTAAATTAAATAAAAAATTATCACGGCGCTGTGGTGAATTTTTTAAATAAAATTTTCTTCTTTTTCATAGGTCTGATACTCAGATCTACAACATACTTTTCCTTATCTAAAAAATAACTAATGAGATTATGGAACGCAAATTATTTAAGGCAAATAGAAAAATAATGACGAAAGATGGAAAACAATGTGAAGAGTTGATGACAAAAAGGTGCTTAGTTAATAATTAAGCAATACAATAAATATTTCAAAAGAATATGGCGATATGCAATTATCAATTTGTTTGCCTATGGCTTTTCATTTCCCCTCATACATGATTAAAGCATGCATTTGGAAACTGTTGCAATTATCAATTGCTGCTTATCCATAGTTATGTAACAGTCACTAACTACATGTGTTGTAAATTACTTTGCAGGTTGCTTTCCCCGTCTTGAAGGATTTGGGAATTCACGAATTGCCTAACATAATAGATATATGGGACAAACAATTACTCATAGCCTCAGAAGAAGAATCAAAGTCCTTCTGCCAACTGAAAGTTATGAGTGTTTCTAATTGTGAGAAATTGGTACATGTGGTCCAGTTCAATATGCTCTCACGACTGCAAAATCTAGAAACATTCCATGTATATCATTGCCGAAAGATGGAAGCGATAGTCTCGGAGAAAGGAAAAGAAGAAGGAACCACCAGTAATGATATCATCGTGTTCTCTCAATTAACAACTCTTAATCTATCTGAGTTGGTGAGCCTTAAAAGTTTCTACAACTGGCCTACAAGATCTGAAGCACAACCCTTGTTCAACCACCAGGTTTGGTTTTCCTAATTTACTTTTTTAACCTTGGCCATGGGAAAGCGTGCACACAAAGAAAAATTAAAATGTCGTTTCAGTTACAATTTTAAATTTGAAGCTTATTTGAATATTCTCTTTCTATCCAAATCCAACTAAAAGTAAAATAATTTCAATGTGGATATGCGAGGGGCCTACGATGGAAATTACAATATTACCCAAACAAAAATATGTATGAATTCTAAATTTAACACTTTTATTTGACTAAAATTATGTCAAAAATTGTAATTTGCTTAAGCTTGTCGTGGAGTTCATTAAAAAAATATTTAAATATTGGATATCATATTTTGTTTTTTTGGTTTTGACTGATATGATTTTATTCTGTTTCACAATCCAAAATTATTCCCTTATAACCACTTTAAATTTTGATTGCAATTTCCCGATCATCAATCCTAAACTGCCTTCCTTTGGAATTATGCCTCTTAGGTTTTTGGCTAATGATAACAATTTCTACACGATTCCTAGTTGTAATATTTGAATATGGAAAAATCATTATTAAAATTTCTTCTAAAACCTCAAAAATATTGAGCAATCCCTATTATAGGAGGTCACAGATCAACTCCCACAACTTCACCATTACGAAAATGTTACTTGCCCATGCCCAAAACATCTTTGGAAACTTCTTGGAAGTTCAATCCCGACCATTGATCCAATTTTAAAACTACATTAATTGATGGATTATGCATGCTGGTTTGAGTTGTTACTAGCAATTAATCAATAACAGATTAAAGCTTAATCTTCTCTACTTTAGTGCTATATTTATTAGGGTCCAATGTTGCTATATCATTGTCAAGAACACTGTAACGCCCCCCAAATAAACCCATAAATCATACATTCTTGACATGCTTAGACATAAAAGAATAAAGCATAATTATATATTATCAGAGTATTCATTACAAAATGTATTACTTGTTGACAACAAAAGTAAGTGCCCTATAGGCTTACAACTTTCCAAGTCAACACTTGGTTACAAAACGAGAGTACTAACTCAAGATACAAAATAAGCCCTTGGCTTGATATACATGTAATACAAAGAAAAACAACAAAAGTCCAACAGCCTCAAGCCTCCCAAGCTATGTCCTTGGAGGTGGCATACTACCTGTACCTGAAAATGATGTCCCATATAAGCTGAGCCAACGCCCAGTAGAGATATGCTAAACATGATATAAGCAATAACTAAAACATTGGCCATTGATAAATGTTTAACTCATATGAATCAATTCATAATCCGTTTCAATTACATGGCAAAAGTGGCCATGCTTCATTCCATTTTCCATCTCTTATCCAATTCTCAATTCATAACTATGGTTCAGAACCTGGCCAAACAATTTGATTGAGATCACATCTCATATCAACAATATTTCTATTTTAGATGAGATAATAACTCATATTAAACACTTCACACTTCATAACAGATACACATTTTGGTGCTGTATCATTAACACGTAGCAACATTTCCATACTTCACAAATGACACACATTTTAGTGCTGTATTAATGTCAAACAAAAACACTTTCATACTTCACAAATGATACACATTTTAGTGTTGTATCAATGGAGTCCATCCCCTACCTCCTCCCAAACAATATCCGGTTTAGAGGTCCATCCCCTATCTTCCCCTAAACCGTGGAGTACATCCCCTATCTCCTCCCGCACAACACCATGTATATAAACACATATCATATACATAATCAAATCAATACATAAAATTCATGTATTATAACAACCGCTATATTCGATGGCATACTCATTTGATTAGTTTTAGTTTGCCTAATCATCATGCATTGTCTACAACAATCAAGACTATTCTCCACTGATAGCCCAAAGCAATTATTTCTAAACAGACAATAAATGCATCAATAGGTAATTTATCAACATTTTCAAAAGTGAGCGATTAATAAATCCAACTTCACTATTCCATCTCATATTGAGCCAATTTCATTATTTTCAACTCAATTTCACATTTTCATCATAAATGTCATTAATTACATAAATGACCCCATTGTACCCAAACATGGCATTTTTCCCATTTTTCCAATATTGACCCAAATGTCCAAATATCAACAACTAACATCAATAACCTCCCTTTTAGACCCAAAACAATTATATATGAACCAAAGGAATAAAACCCCTCTTTTCATTTTTACATAACTCAAACCGTAACTTCCCAAATATCAACCATTTATACAAATAACTCAACACCTATGTTAAAGCATATAAGAATGAGTAGGAATCCCTACCTCAAATTTCGAAACTCAACGGAGAAGAAGATGAAAACTCAAAGTGCTCCAAATCACAAGATTCTCAGATCAAAAGGAAGCCCAAACCAAGCTCTACACTTTTTGTAAAGACACTAAGGGAGTAGATCACTCAAAATAGATCAATCCCTAGAGAGAAGGTGAAATGTAGAGAGAGAGGCTCTCAAAAATGGGTTTTTGGAAAAGCAAGAGAGAGAGTGGAAGTTTAAAAGTGATCTAAAAAGACCTAGCTGATATCTGATATATGTATGACCCGCTCGAGCGGATGATAGGACGCTCGAGCGTCAAGCACAAAAACTGGACCCGCTCAAGCGCAAGTATACTAGCTCGAGCGCCAAGACACAACTGTAAAACACACCCGCTCGAGTGCAAAGGGAAAGCCTCTCGAGCGTAGATTTCCCCCTTCCAGTACTTTTACAGACAATGAACTACCTACTCGAGCGCCAAGATACCCGCTCGAGCGCAACCCGCTCGAGTGTAAGAAAATCCGCTCGAGCGTGAAAAACACACCTGCAGAAGTTTTGCAGAGGCACAAAAGGCTGAGAGTATGTAAACCCTACTCGAGCGCAAGAAGACCCGCTCGAGCGGATCACCTGAAAACTGGGCAACAAGGTTTGAAATTCAAACTCAACCAATCTGTAACAACCCTGCCGAACATATCCTAAAACTCAAATGTATGGAATAAAGGATGACAACACGACATACACAACAACCAACTCCACAGAACCAAGTCCGGAATACAATAACTAAAGAAAGGGAAAACCGGGATCGCTATAACCTCCCCCCTTAAGGAATTTCGTCCCTGAAATTAAGTAAAAGTTTTTCAAAAACATGATTTCTCAATTACCAATATTATTACAATGCAAAATTCAACAACTTAACCCATTACCGGTCATTCCATCTCTATTCAAGAGGCATTTCACAATATAATTTTCAACATGCATTATCAACATGCATTCCTTTGAAATTTAGTAATTTCAACACATTTTCATAATTCCATAACATATGCAACATTAATATCATGCTTGCGTTTCTACAATATAATTAACATACATAATGTTAAAACAAACTTCCATTTCGAGGCTAGTTCTACAATATTACGAAATTCCCATTACATGATTACACATCAACAAACATGTTCGGATATTTCTCACGGACCTCTAACTCATGTTCCCAAGTGGCTTCCTCCACTCCGTGATGTTTCCACAAAACCTTTACCAAGGGAATGGTCTTGCCTCGCAAGAGTTGATCCCGCCTATCCAAAACCCGAACCGGTCTCTCCTCATACGAGGCATCCTCCTCTACCTCTAAGTCGGTCCAATCCAATACATGCGACGGATCCGGCTCATACTTCCGAAGCATACTAACATGAAACACGTTCAGTACTTCGGATAACTGCGGCGGGCAAGGCCAAACGATAAGCAACCTCCCCAATCCTCTCAAGGATCTCAAAGGGACCGATGAACCGAGGAGATAACTTCCCACTCTTCCAAACCTCATCAAACCCGTTTAGGTGATATTTTCAGAAAAACATGATCACCTGTCTCAAATGCCAAGGGCCTCCTCCTATGGTCGGCATAACTCTTTTGGCGACTCTGGGCTGTAATAAGCCTCCTACGGATAAGTTCAACTTTCTCCATCATCTCCCTCACCAACTCCGGGCCCAACAAAGGTGCATCACCCACCTCGGCCCAACAAACCGGAGACCTACACGGTCGGCCATACAAGGCCTCAACGGTGCCATACCGATACTAGATTGAAAACTATTGTTGTAGGCAAACTCCACCAAGGGCAAGTGCCTCTCCACGTCCCACTAAAGTCAAGGACACAACCTCGAAGCATATCCTCAAGGATCTGAATAGTACGCTCGGACTGCCGTCAGTCTGAGGATGATAAGCCGTGCTAAAGGTCAATCAGTACCCAAGGCACTCTGCAAACTCTGCCATAACCTAGCAGTAAAACGAGGATCTCTATCAGAGACGATCAACACTGGGACCTCGTGCAACCTCACTATGTCCCGAATATACAAGTCGGCAAGATGATCTACCGAATCTCTCATGCGCATAGGAATAAAGTGCGCTGACTTAGTCAACCGGCTACAACCACCCAAATAGCATCACTACCCTGCTGAGTCCTCGGAAGACCTACAACGAAGTCCATAGTGACATGCCCCCACTTCCACTCGGCTATAGGTAAGGGTTGCAACAAACCCGCTGGCCTCTGATGCTCGGCCTTCACTTGTTGACAAGTAAGGCACTTCGACACGAAAACTGCCACATCTCTCTTCATGCCCCTCTACCAAAACTGGCGCCCCAAATCACGATACATCTTAGTGCCTCCCGGATGCACCGCAAGGCGTGAATGGTGAAACTCTCGGAGTACCTCCTCTCGGCAGGACTCTGGCACAAACAATCGGTCTCGGTATCTCACACTCTGGTCAGGATACTCAGACAAACCCTTCTCAACCTTCCCGCTGGAGATCTTCTCTCGAAGGGATTCTATCTCAAGGTCACCTCTCTGTGCCTCTAACACTCGAGTCACAAGTGTAGGCTGCGCGACAACAAAAAACAAGGCCGCAGCCTCAACGAATTCGCCTAGAAGCAAATCAAACTCCCCAAGTGCACCCAACATCTCCCACTCCCGGATGGCTATACAAGCTACATCACTAATGGATTTTCTGCTAAGGGCATCGGCCACAACATT